CTTGTACAGAGACACCAGGTAGGGCTCGTCCGGGCTGATGAAGGGCGACCGCTGGAAGTAGTCGTCGGTCCAGGAGACGCTGTTGTCCGTCCACAGGAAGTACCCGTCGATGCGCTGCTGGGAGCTGACAAAGATGCGGCGGCTGACCTCGGAATCGGCCGGGAAGTCGTTTGGGTGCAGCGGCCGCAGCTGGTAGTCGAGGAAGCCCTCAACGGTGGGCGGCAGGTCCAGGGGCCGGACCCGGGGCAGCGCCGTCGTCGGCACGCGCAGGTCGTGGAGGTGGCGATGCCTCATGTTGGCGCAGGTGTTGCGGTAGCGCAGCACGGCGTAGCTGACGACGCTCGTGGGCCGGTCGCGCGTCTCGAGCTGCAGGTAAAAGTCGAGCTTGCGGAGCGCCTCGAGCTCGGCGCACGACTTTGCGCGGAACAGCAGGCTGAAGCGCTGGCCGGAGCCGACCTGCATCAGCGTCGTCTCATGCGGCTTGGTGTAGTGGCCGTCGGCCTCGATGATGCGCATGTCGCTGTGGTTCTGGAAGGCAAAGGCCGCGTACGAGAGCGCCGTGGCGCCGATGATCCGGAACCGGTACAGCTTGCCCGGGTCGACCTCGATGACGGACAGCTTGGCGGAGGCGCGGTCGACAATGGGATAGTCCGATATCGTGTTGCCGTTGACGAGGAACCCGCCCGGCTCGCCGGACCACACAAACGGCGTCGCCCGCAGGCCCTCGGCGATGGTGTGATCCGTCTGGTTGAACAGCTCGTGGATATGGATGATGCGATCCCCATCCACGGGGTACGGCTTCGAGTCTGAATCATCGTCGACAATCAGAGGCCCATTTGCCGTGCCCGTCGCGAATCCGACGTGCGAGTGGTAGAAGTAGGTCCCGGCCGTGCCCCGAGGCGTCTTGAGCTCGTAGTCGAAATAGTGCTGCGGCGGGATCGGCCACTGGCTTGCCATGGGGGAGCCATCGGAAAAGGGGGCTGCTGCCTGGGCGAGGCCATGCCAATGCTTTGAACCTCAAAGTGTAAGCCAATGTTAATCTTCACCTGGAAGAGCGCCACGC